GCGGCGGCGGCGGCGGCGGCGGCGGAGGAGGATGGCGCGCGCGGGGCCCGCACGTGGAGGCCGGCGCGGGGGCGCGGGCAGGGCCGGCTGCTGAGACGCGCTGCTGCCCCCCGCGCGGGCGCCGCGGCTTCAATGGCGCCATCGCCCAGGACCAGCAGCCGGCAAGATGCGACCGCCCTGCCCAGCATGTCCTCAACTTTTTGGGCGTTCATGATCCTGGCCAGCCTGCTCATCGCCTACTGCAGTGAGTATTGCGCGGCCCGGGCCCCCGCACGGCCCTCCAGCCCCGGCTCCCCGGCCCTCCCCCCAACCCCGGCCCCGGTCCCCAGCTCTGGCCCGGGCCCCGGCCCCGGCGGCCGCCAGGAGTCGGTGCGGAGTTGCCAGTTCGCGGTGCGCCGTCCCCGGGTCCCGCCGCCAACGCCTGGGCCAGGAGGGAGAGGGGCCGCCGGGGCTCCCGGCGCTCGGGCACTTCGGAAGCGGGCGCCGCCGCCGAGCCTCTCGCCCCGACTCCGGGGCAGGGCCCCGGCGCCAGGCCCCGGGTGGCGCGGCGATGCCCGGGGCTGCCCGGTGTGCTGCCGCCTCTCCCGGCCCTGGCCGGCGGGCCGAGCCGAGCCGCGCGCTCCGGAGGCGGCGGCAGGTCCGGGGCCGGCGGGCCGCACCGCTGGGGATGTCGGCGGAGCGCCCTGCCCCGCGCTTTCCGCGGGCGACACTCCCGCCGGGGACGAGGGGCGACGCGGCGGCCGAGCCAGGAGCGGGGTAGCTCCAGCGGGAGCGGGGCTCGGGCTAGGACGCGTGGCTGGAGCCTCTGCCTGCCGGGGAAGCCGACTCGCCCGGCGCTTTCTTAAAAAAGAGAAGTGAGGGGTGGGGTATGTGGAGAGGGGCCGCCGCCGCCGCCGCCGCCGCCGCGGTGATTTCTGGAGTCGTGTCCGGGGACCTGAGCCGCTGACCCCGCTGATCTGGAGCGGGGCCGCGGGTTCGGGGCTGGGGTGGGTGCGGGGGACCGGGGACAGAGACAGGCTCGGGGGCGGCCGGGGTGAGTGGGGGGTTGTGGGCTGGGTGAAGGAGGGGTGGTCGGAGTCCCGGGCGCAGCCTTGGGCTGCGGGGGCGGGGCGGGGGGGGTGGTGGTCAGCGCTCGGGGCGCACGCTCGCAGTCCGACAGGGTGGCGGGGAGTGGCCAGAGTCCTGGGCGCGGGCTCGGGGGCTGGGATGGCGCGGGCTGCTCGGTTCCCCGGCCGGCCGCTTGGCACAGGCTCCTGGTCCCTTCCCATCCTAGCGGGAGGAGAGGACGGGCGCTGAGGAACACCTGTCATGGAGAACTGCCATGGGCGCGGGAGGTGATGGAAAAATATGGATTCTTAAAAAAAAAAAAAAAAAAAAAAAAAGAGGCCAGCGCCGCGCCTGGCTCCCGCGCCACCACCTCGAAGTCCCGGCCTCCCCGCTCGCAGTCCGAACCCTCCGGGGCCTCCAGAACGAGACCACAGCGGACCACGGGGACCCAGGCGGCGGCGCGGTCGCCGAGTCCTGGGACAGCCCAGCCCGCCGGAACCGCCAGGGAGAGCCGTGCGGGAGCAGGCATGGCCCTACTTCTTTCAGCCCCGTTGTGCATTGCCCACAATTGCAGGCGACGGCTGGCGCCCTGCGTGGGGAGGGGACGCGTGTCGGGAAGGCCCCCAGCGGGGTCGTGACCCGGACTGCCCAGCCAGGCACCGCCAGCACTCGCGGGGCGGTCTGGGGGGACTGGGGGCTGGGGCTCGGCGCGGCCATCTCGGCCCTCCCGCTGCGTTCACAGGGTTCCTTGGTGATGTGCAAAGGGCTGGTGATAGATAAAGTCCCGGTACTGCCTTGGGTGCCGTATGAATGCTCTTCCTGGTGGCATGGGGGGAGAGAGGGCTCATTCAGCAGTGTTGGGAAGGGGACTAGCTCCCTGAGCGTCCCCTGGGGATGCTGTCCTTGGCCAGCGCTGGCGACAGGTCCTTGGGTCCCAGGTGCGAACCCAGGACAGCAGCTGGGCGGGGAAGCAGCCCTTCAGGTGAAGAAAAGAGCAACCGCTAATGGTTAAGTATAGGACACACTGGCGGTGGTTTCAACACTCCGCACCCCCACGGCTAGCCGGAGCCTCCCTGGTTCCCGCCTTGTCAGTGCACACTCCCCACCACCTGCACCTGCACCTCACTCCCACACTCACACCCTCCCAGGGCTGCTGCCTGCCCCAGGTCGGGGTCGCGGCTGCCCAGAAACACCATGAAACCCGAGATCCCCGCCCGCGCACTCAGCCCACCCTTAGCAGCCTCCCTGGTGTTCTACAAACAAATCTTCCACCGGGACAAGGGCATTCGCTAAAATGTCTGATTCAGAAGAGCAGAAATCGTTAATAATGAAAGCTTGGGTTAACCACATTTTCATGGTGGTTGCCATTTCCATGTAATGGAGTAATTGACAATAAGATAAGACGTTTTCAGACACACCCCATTTCACCGGAAATGCACTTGGAAAAATTAAAACATTTTACAAAAATACAAAATGGACATAATAATAATTTATAGCATGGAACAGCAGTCCTGCAGGAAAAAAAAAAACTTTTTTTTTAGAATTGATAAAGCAAATAAAATGCAAATGAAACCGTTCTTATGATTTCCGTTCTCTTTTCCAATATATCTGGGATGAATAAGAATAGTTAGAATCCTTGTTTGTAAATTGTTTTTGTTATCAGTCAGGATTTTTATTACCCAAAATGTTTTTGTGTTATGAAGCAGATATATTTGTATCATATTAATTAGGGAAACTGATAAGTATCATACAGGATTCAATTATCCTCCCTATTAAATCTGAGCATTTCTCTGCAGCACATAAGGTGTTCACTTTCTAGCGCGGCGTAAGGAAAACTGGATTATTTCTTGGCCTGGTTTTCGGTTAGGGGATGTTTTGTTCCAGGGCCCAGTCAGCTGAGACTCATAGCTAAGGAGATGGGCTCCACCCTCTGGCTGGAGAGGGACCTGCAGTCCACCAATTAGGTTAGTTGCTATAGTGACAGTCTTGTCATTTTTCTCCCATTGGGGAAGAATTGCCAGGAAAAGCGGAGAGAGAAGGGGGCCCTCAATGGCTTTCTCCAAACGCACACTCGGTAGTCTGTGGACGTCCTGTTGACGGCGGGGCTGGCGCCTCGTTGGTTTGGGGATGATGAGCTTGGAGAAGGTTGGAACCCCTTCGTCTTGCCTGGGGAACTCTGTGTCTTAGAAGGACCTGGTGTCTGCCATCGGCCCCTCGGCATATCTAGAGCAGAGGGCTTGGCTTGGATGGATGTGGTTCTCAGAAGGAGTTGGGACTGCTCTGGGACCACCAGAGGGGTGTGACTGTGTTGGCGTGTCTGTCCCTGAGGATGTGGTTGTTTCTCCTCGCTGGCTTACGGCACCAGGGGTCCCCCACAAGCAAGAGGGATGGGGACCATGATGAGCTAGTGGGATGTTGTGGGACGCTGAGCCTTGACTTGGACACTTGTGTGCAATATTTAGTCCGAAGGTGGACAGCTCTGTGCTGCCCCACGGGGAACAGCTTGGCAGACAGACATGCCCGGCATGTAAATCTTTCTGACGGAATTTTTTTCCCAATTGAACCCATCAAAACTGACTTGTGGCTCTGAGTTCAATCTCACATCCTCGGCTGCAACGATGGGAAGTTACCAACAACTTCCGAATTATGTTTAATCCATTAGAATACTAACCGAGCCTGGGCTCTCTGCTGTTGCATTTTCTTTATAAATATAATTTATTGCATAGTTAGGAGAGATTAGAATATGGTACTTTCCCGCTATTCAAATTTTATTTCTGGAGTTCTTGGAGAGGTAAATTTGAAAATACTGGGCTTAATGAAGTGATGCCATTCAGAGGTTTCTCTCTCATCTCGGCTCTTTTTTTTTTTTTTTTTCTCCCTTTTCTCCTGTGTGTTTTTATTTGATGAATTTCTGGCTGGAGAGGATGTGGTGTTGGTTTCTTTCAGCTTCATAAAGATAAGTCACCCTCTCTTTGTGGGATTTGTATTAGCTGAGCCGGATGCCCAAGCATCAGCGAGGTAAAGGGTTTTGTCCATGGAAGCATCCTCCTGAGCACAGACCCCCGGGGAAAGGGTCCTGGGGAACAGTGTTGGGAAGAGGGCAGCCCACAGCCTTCCAGGACTGTCTCCAACATCTCTCTTGCCAGTGAGGACAGAGGACTGCGGATCCCAGAAAGGGGGCTGTGTCCCGCTGTGGGCTTGCCGGGTCTGCTCGGCACCGGGCTCCTGGCTGAATCCCACCCTGGGAGATCCTGCTCGGGACTCGCCACTCAACATCCACGGAATGACGTGTGTAGATCAACTTTTGTGGCATGAAGTATTTTCAGGTGACTTTTATGGGCGTAATTATAGGGAAATGTTATGATAATGTGGCACTAGAAAAGGGAAGAAAAGCAAAACATTAAAATCCCCATTTCTTTATATAGCTTCGCAGCTGCGCCGATTGAGAAGGGCTCCTTTCTGCATTAAAATGTGGTGCTCTGGAGTTAATGACCTCTACAGAATGCCACCTGTCACCCAGAGCGCCATGGGTGACGGCCGAGAGATGGGGAGGAGATTGAGGGTCTCCTGCTTGTGGGGGCCTGGACTGTTGTGGAGTGAGAGCTGCAGGGAGGGCCAGGGCCTGTGGGCCTGCCCATTGTCTTTTCTTTGGGGTGGGGGGCTGTCCCTGGCTGTCAGGAGGCTAACAGAATCTGGTGGTGTCCCTCCCCAAATTCTGCTTTGCTCGCCATGCACAGACCCTGGGAGCTGGAGTTCGGGGCACCAGGGCGACCCCAGAGCCCTGTGGCTTCTGCAGGGCATCCCTTGGCGCTGGAGCCCCCCACCCCAGAGCCCAACGGAGTGCTCCCAGCTCCCGTAGGGGAGGCTGCTGCCTTTCATACTCTGGTCCAGAGCTTCCCGGACCTGGCCCAGGAGCGCAGACCGAGACTCCGGGCAGGCAGCACAGACTTGCTGGCTGGCCAGGCCTTCCAGAAACGCCAAGCGGCCGGCCGCACATCGGGGCAGCTGTTCTCCTCTCTCCACCCTGGCCAAAGTGGCGGAGGGCTCCGGAGGCTTTGTAACCCACACTTATTAAAATGGCTGCCAGGGTCGAGTGTGCAAGCACTTTTGTCTGCAACTAGGCGAGCAGGACTCCTCCGGAATGCCCCGCTCCCCGCAGCCCTGGGGAGGCCCTGGCCCAGCTCCACTCCAGCGGTG